TTTCTTGTTCCAGATCTCACAGTCTTATGACTCAGTTTGTTGTGTTTCCTTCTCTTGCTTATCTGTCCCTCTTCTGGCATTTAATATTATAATGAGGTCATTTTAGTTTAAGATTTGCTGGGCCTATTTTTTTCATGCCCTTTTTGTTCAGTTCTAGATGCTAGTCTTTTTCTTCGTTTCTTATTCAAATGCTTTAATAAGTATGCTGGGCCCTGGGGGTGAAGAGACCAGATATTGGGCAGTGGCACTCAAAATACGATCTACAGACTGTGTTTGTCCCTGTATTAGTCAGAGTTCTCCAGAGAAACAGACCAATGGGATGTGGGTGTACAAGTGTATAGAGAGATTCATTATAAGTAACTGGCTCACTTGGTTAAGGAGATGGTCAAGTCGCAAGATCTGCAGGGTAAGTCGGCAAGCTGGAGAGCCACAGGAGCCGAGAGGGTGGTTCTAGGCTGAAGGCCAGCAAGCTCCAGACCCGGGAGGAGTCAGTGTTTCAGTTCAAGTCTGAAGGCAGGGGAAAAAAAATGTCCCCGTTTGAAGGCTGTGAGGCAGGAGCAGTTCTCTCTTGCTTAGGGCAGGCTCAGCCTTTTGTTCTGTTCAGGCCTTCAACTGATTGGATGAGGCCCANAAATGTCCCCGTTTGAAGGCTGTGAGGGCTCAGCCTTTTGTTCTGTTCAGGCCTTCAACTGATTGGATGAGGCCCACCTGCATTAGGAAGGGCAATCTACTTGACTCAGACTCCAGATTCAAATGTTAATCTCATCCAAAAACACCCAGAATAATGTTTGACACATTTCTGGACACCCCACGGCTCAGTCAGGTTGACACGTAAAATGAACCATCACAGTTCCCAGACTGTCACTGGTCTGCAACAAGGTGAGTATGGGAGTTGAAAGGACACATTTAGAAACTTCTAGAGCAACTGGACATGCATCGCACATGTGATCAGTAGACTTGTCTTGATGAGAAGGTATAGACACATTTGTTGAATTTAGTGATAAATTGCGTGTGGGGCAGCTGGGTACTAGGCTTGTGTATTAGGACCAGATCTTTATTTAGGATGGATTGGGGGGG